ATTATAGCTTCTCTTGCAGGAGACAATTGTTTTACATTAAAATGTTTGAGCTATTTAAAAACACAGACAAAAACTGTGCTTTGACTTTCCAGAAAATTCTGGATACGTTATGACTAGGGTGACGAAAGTCTCACCTGGGTAAGGCATCTGTCCAAACGTCATGATCTCATACAGCAGAATTCCAAAGGACCAAATGTCCGATTTGATGCTGAACTTGTTGTTGTGGATGGCCTCTGGTGCAGTCCACTTCACAGGGAATTTAGTTCCTTCTTTGGCTTCGTACACATTTTCATTCTCTTTCTAGAAACAAAAATATATAGATTTTTTTTTTATTTTACTGTCAGTAAGGTGCTTTAAGGCTTAAAGTATTTCTTTCGTGTAGTGTACTTTTATATTGTATGTGATTAGTGAGAATGACTATGACACTTGCTACATGGATTTTACAACAGCACTTTAAACGTCAAACCCACCATGAAGACCCTGGCGAGGCCAAAGTCAGCCACTTTGCAGATGTTGTTCTCGCCCACCAGGACGTTCCTGGCTGCCAGGTCTCTGTGGATGTAGTTCTGCAACTCCAGGTAAGCCATGCCCGACGCCACCTGGGCAGCCATCTCAATCTGGTCAGAGATACCCAGCGTGGTGCCCTGATCCTCTGTCATCAAGCAGAGAGGCACATAATCAGTCGCAGTCCTTCCGTGTTTAAAGTATGATAGGCGGCAGTGAAAGAACACAGGATATAGAAGAAAATTGTTCTGGCCCATAGTCTTGTGGGAGGAAAAATGTATGCGTTTGCCACTATATTTTCTCCAAGGTTATCCTATGTGTCTATTCATATATCTGTAAAATGTATTCATTTACATCTATATTCTGGGTCCAAGTCTATATTATACATTTGCTCAGATAATCATTATAATCTTACTTTTGTACTAAACTCAGTTCAGGCCCCTGACATAGGATTAGTGACAGGATTCATGTCTCTAATGAGTCCTAAAAATAAGGTGAAGTCCAGTAGGTACTGGCCTCAATATCACCCCCATCACGCCCGAGGAAAACAGGACGCCCTTTGTGTATGGGCCCGGGGACCAGAATATCTGGCTCTTCTTGGGTCGCTGTGACCGGCGGACGGCAGTGATGCCGTCTCTAGAAGTTTGACAGGAGCATAAATAAATAAGAAGGAAGGGAGGGGGGACTGAGGCCGTGGGGAAAGATCCAACGTTACCATCCAAGCGGCACGTAGGCCCATGCATAGTAGAGGCACAGATACTTTGACTGCATTCCTGTTGAGTTAGCCTGACCACAGAATCACAGAATTAGTGAACCAACTGCCTATCTCAGCGGTCCAGATGTCCCTCAACCCCTCGGGGTAAACAGGATGCATATAGCCTTTAGAAACCCCCACTGTAATGTTGATGAAGGAAATTACCGTTTAGTGAACATTGAGGGCTGATGAGTAAAGGGGGGGGGGGG